ATATATATATATATTATATATATATATATATATATATATATATATATATATATATATATATATATATATATATATATATATATATATATATATATATATATATATATATATATATATATATATATATATAAATATATATATATATATATATATATATATATATATATATATATATATATATATATATATATATATATATATATATATAAATTAAACATCCAAAATGTTGGATCTTAAGAATTGTTTAATGTTAAAACAAATTTTTATACTTTTATTAGTTTGTTATAGAATATGTTTTTATCAATTCATTGCTTAATAATAATTTAATTTACATTAATCTTTATTATTATTATTATTATTATTATTATTATTATTATTATTATTATTATTGATTCTTCATTATTGTATTTAAGCCTGCTTATGTAAAACAATGCAGTAAAGAAAATCCTTATCGATGCGAGCTAGGAGACACCAGTAGTAAAGTTGGTACTTACGACATTGGTAGTGGCAAAGCATTTTATGCTGATGTTGATGCTCCTCTTTTTGGGCCACATTCAAGTGAGATAATAATATTTAAGTATTAAAGTCAAGATTTAATAATTACAACTATTAAACAACTATTAAACAGCATAACTTAACAGTCTTTTTTTTATTTTTTTTGCTGTAAATTAAAAAAAAAGTTTTTTTTTAAAGAAATTTCGAATTGAAAAATCATTACTAAGTTGAAACTTTTAATTTTTTTTAGCTAAGTTTGTTGCTAGTTTAAAAAAATAATAATAATAAAAAAATTAAACTCAAGAAAATATTAAGTTATTAGTGTGTGATACTAAAAAGTGTGGCACAATGTAGTTTACTTGATAACTTATACTTGATAATGAGGGTGTACTCCCTTGAAATATTGTAAATTATATAAACTTTGAATTATTTTTTGTATTTAAAATATAAACTTTCTTCAAAATATTTTTACTCTAAAATAAATATATATTATTATAATTGATTGCAATTTAGAAACTAAAATTCAAAATAAAGATTAAAAATTCATTTTGTTATTCTTTTAATTCCTCAGGGATTTTTTTTTTGTCACAAAAGAATATTAATTAAATTGAATATATTAGATCAAACCACTGACCACTGTTTTATGAAAATTGAAAGACTACTGCACAGTGACTCAAAACAACAAAAAAATGGCAATGAACCCCTCACCCCTTTTTTATAAATTAAGTACCCTTTGTTAAATAATATTAAAAGACAATGATTTTTTGTTTCAAAAGTAAAAATAATTTTTTCATAAAGTTTTATTTTGTATTTTATAGGTCAAAGAAGTGAAAAAAATTTGATATTAATTTTAAAGAAATCTGAAAAATGTGAGGTTTTTATTCAACTAAATTAGAGAACTTGAAATTTAAATAAAAGTGTATATTTATTTTTAAAATAATACTTTGACTCTATATATTACAAATATATAGAGTCAAAATATTATTTCAAGTCTGATTTTTTCGTTTAAATTTAAAGACTTCTCTAAAAAAAAGTAGAAAATAATTGTATTTTTTTTGTTTATATATCAGCTAAAAAAATGTTCTACCAAGTTCCACAAATAAATATATATATTTTCCAGGTAATTAACATTTCTACTTTAGGAATGTAAAAGGATTACTGCGGTCTCCTGCGGTATTGGAAGTTATTAAAGAAAAACAAATGTTGATGATTTTATAAAAACCTTGTTTTCCGCCATATTGCTAAGAACTTTATTATATCAAAACAAATGAAATTGGTGGGAAACTTAAAGTTAAGTTTCTTGCTTGCAGAACTTGTTCTAATATAGTTTTAAAACCATAAATATTAAATATAGTTTTAAAAAACGTGCTTTTGTCATTATATACTATTTAAAAGTTTGTTAAAATATTTATTGACAATTTTAAAGAACGAATTATTATTCGATAAGTACAACATGTTTGAAAAAGCTTAATTGAACAACTTTGGTATTTCCTGTTTCAAGAAATACCAAATTGTTACATCCTGTAATAACACATATTACTTAGTTAACTTTATATTACATGTAATATAAAGTTAACTAAGTAATATGTGTTATTACAGGATGTAACAATGTGGAAATTGTTAAAAGTCAATACAAAATCAATACATGTCTTAACAAGATAAAAGACAAAATCAATACATGTCTTAACAAGATAAAATCTTAACAAGATAGTCAATACATGTCTTAACAAGATAAAATTTGAAACTGTGTAAAGTAAAAAAATATGTAATGTAATTTAAAATGTGTCTAATATATTAGTTTTATTATATTGATGGTTCTTAAAAACGATAACAATGAAAAGATTAGATCTTATCCCAAATATAAGTGAATTAGGAGTTGATAAATTAAAATTGTGGAAGGATTTACTTAATGAAATAAAAAATACTGAAAAAATTCGCAAAGAAAACTTAAATAAAGTTAAGCTTGCTTTAGTTATATTTATTTCAAAGGTGAAGAAAAAAACTAAAACAATGTGGACGAAACTATGATACATTTATACAAAAAGAAAATCATTGGCTTCAAAGAAATCTTATGAACAATAAAAATAGCCATTTTGGTTCTGGAAGGCCCCATAAACAATGGAGTGTTCTTGGAGAGAGAAGCAAAAGAAAAAAAATAAAAGAACTAGCCACTGAACATCATGAAGCTCTATTTTTAGCTTCTGTAAAAAGTGAAAATGCTGCTGGAGAAAAAAAAAGCCCCTGATTTAAAAAACAATATATCTAATGTTTTAGAGATAGAAAAAGTTGATAAAACTTTGGATAAAACCTTTCCCATTAACATGAGTGTTGAGGATGCTCTTGCATTAAAAATGAATACTGATCTCAGCGATAAACAATATCAAATGATCAGAAACTCAGCTCTTGTACACAACAAACATATTTATCCTACCTTGCACAATATTTTTGTGGAAAAATTGAAATGCTATTCTGAAAATATACATTTTTCTGAAATTTCTGCAAAGTGTACTCTTCAAAGCATGTTAGATCACACTGTGAGTAGAATAACAGAAATGATTAATATGCCTAATTTTAGTCTAAGTGATGAATTATTTGGAGTTTTATATGGAAAGATTGGTTTTGATGGAGCATCAAGCCAAAGTATTTATAAACAGAAATACGATACAAGCAACGCAAGTATAGAACTTAAGCATGAAAATAATCTTTTCAGTACAGCTTTTGTGCCTTTATTGCTCAAAGTAGAAGATGGCGAAATTTGGAAAAATGAAAATTCTTCAAGCTGTCACTTTTGTAGACCTCTTCATCTACAATATAAAAAAGAGAGTCCAATTTTATCCAGAGAAGAATCAGATCTAAAATATCAAATAAATACCTTAAAGAGGTTTTGCAAAGTTTTTAATATTGCAGGAAGAATTTTGACATTTAATATCAGCTATAGGATTGATCTTACAATGTTTGATAATAAAGTAGTTAGCGCACTTACAGAGACAAAATCCACTCAATCCTGCAATGTGTGCAATGCTAAACCCAAGGAAATGAACAATATTGATTTATTAAAAGCAAAAACTGAGAATGACTTGGCCTTGGGGCTCGGAATTTCAGCTTCGGAATTACAGAGACAAAATCCACTCAATCCTGCAATGTGTGCAATGCTAAACCCAAGGAAATGAACAATATTGATTTATTAAAAGCAAAAACTGAGAATGACTCGGCCTTGGGGCTCGGAATTTCAGCTTTGCATTGCTGGATAAAATGCTTAGAGTTCATTCTTCATTTGAGTTATAAAATTGAAATTAAAAAGTATAAGCCAAAAACAATTGAGGAAAAATTATCTGTAGACTTAAAAAAAAAAGAGATGGTACTCTTCAGAGAACGGTTAAGCCTATACATTGATATGCCTAAAACATGGTCTGGAAACACGAATGACGGCAACACTGCCAGAAGAGCATTTAAAAATAGTGAAGTTTTTTCTGAAATTACTAAAGTTGATTGTGATATAATTAAAAGATTGCATAATATTCTCATAACCATATCTTGTGGATATCCTATTAATATCAATAAATTAGATTTATACTGCACTGAAACAGCTAAACATATAGTGAGTTTATACAACTGGTATGTTATGCCTCCTACTGTACATAAACTGCTACTGCATAGTTCTTCTATATCAAATAAATTACCTTTGCCAATCAGGGTATATTCGGAAGATGCACTAGAGAGTTTAATTAAACAGATTAGAAATTCTAGACTTAAGCACACGGCAAAAATATCAAGGTTAAACACAATGATGAATCAGATGCACTACCTTCTAGTAAGATCAGATCCAAAAATATCAAGCATATCTTTTAGAAAACATAAGAGCTATCGAGGAAAACTGTTACCAGATGAAGTTTTTAAATTAATTGTAATGTAGATAATAAATTTAATGTAAAAAAATACAGTATTTTTTCTCTATGTATCAACATCCTTTAAAAACCATTTTTATAAAAATATCAAGTAGAGTAATATATCAAAATAATGTGTTTGTCTTGAAGATTCTAAAAACTAAAAAAAAAGTTTTTGTACGCGTCACCTTTAACACGCGTAAGCACGCATTTTACGCGTCGAAGCATAAAATGTGCTTACGCGTGAAACAATCCATCAATTAAAGATGTTGATAAAATTGCGTTTTTTACGCGTAAGCGTAAAACGCAATTTTATCAACATCTTTAATTAATGGAACCTTTGCCAATTTATTTTTTAAAGTTATAATAAGGCAATGTGCAGCACCAAATGTTATCCATAATATTTCTGTCTAATGTCATTTACTTGTACTAATTTAATTATATACAATTGTCATCATTACTAAAACCAACTAATTTAGTTTTATAATTTTTGTATCTATTGATTTAGGAGACTGGCTGTTTTCATTAAAAACTCTATAAGATGTCCCATATTTAAAATCGGAAACAAAAAAAAAACAAAAAAAATTTAATGCATACTTTAGATTTGCTTATTGGAGTTGGTATAAAGCTATTATATTAATTAGATGATGACTGATATGTTTGTGGTTATTAATAATAATAATATTAACCACAAAAACATCTAGTACATATTAATAATAATATTAACCACAAAAACATCTAGTACATATTAATAATAATATTAACCACAAAAACATCAGTCATAAATTGTCAATTAAAATACTGAAGTATTTATGTGTTTTACATTTATTTCCGAGATATTTGACAAACTCAAACCAATGTAGTCAATAAAAGTTGTTAACTTTATAGAATATACGCTAAGCATATACACTAAGAATGTACGCTAAGAGGCAGCTTTTTTTTTAACTATAAAGTATACTACCTCGTGCTACTCTTTTTTAACTATTAACTATAAAGTATGCTACCTCATGCTACTCTCATTTAGCTGTTAACTATAAAGTATGCTACCTCGTGCTACTCTTTTTTAACTATTAACTATAAAGTATGTTACCTCAAACTTTCATATTCAACTTTTTTCTTAATCTCAATTACTGTCACCGCGAAAGAGGATTTTTGTCTGTGGAAGATGCCTGGGCTAGCTTTTTAGTCATAAGTCAGTTATAAATCCATGCATAGGTGTTTAATCCATCATGGTTTTCTGGAGTATGGCTGGGCTTGCTTGGTTTAGTTCAGAGACAAATCTTTTACGCTGGTTACTAACAATACAAGACTCTACTGAACGACATAAACAGCACAGACTTACACATTACACCTATACACCCTTATGCACATACAGCCTGTTTATATCTTTTGAATGCTTTTTGTTCTTTCATAGATAAACTATCTTTGTTTGAACTCATCCTTATTTAGATAATATTTTCTTTTAATAGATATGTTGTTAAAATGTAGATACAGATTTGTATGTTATCTATATGTGTTTATCATGTGTGATTGAATTTTTCATTAAAGGATTCATCTGAATTTACATTATGTTTTACCTATTTGGTTTTATTTCTTAAAATAAATTGATTAATGTTTCTATTAGAATTTTAATTTATTTTGTTTTCATGTTTTCTTTTGGTGGTACGGTAAGTGTTTTATTTAGTTATTTTTTTTTTTGTTTGTTCAGTAAATCTATACTTTTTATATCATATCATCAAGAAAAATATTGGTGCTTTACTAAATTTGGGGTTGGATGGGTTTTGGCTATTTGTAGTGAGTCCTTTTTTACTGCAGTATGGAATAGGCGTAAGTCGCGGGGTAAAGCATAAGTGGCAATGACGTTTGTCTGACGGGATAAACTAGTTAAAAATGCTGATCCTCATCGAAACGCCAGTAATAATAGACGCGACTCTGAGGAGATGTTTATTACTTATCACTACACTAATTATGTTTACACATTAGCATTAATGTTTTTTTTCCATTATTAGTCCTTTCATTGTCGTTATTTTTAGCATATTTTTAATTTGTTGAATAGTTTTTTGTTTTACAAATTTTTGACTGGTTATGTATTTCTTGTATATTTTAGTTCATATTGGTAATTATAAAAAAAAAATTTATTTTTTTATTTTTAATTTTTAATTTTATATATATATATATATATATATATATATATATTTTATTATTATTTGTTATTATTTGTTTTTAATTTTTTTTTAATTTTTTATTGTTATTATGATTGAGTACTGTTTTGGTTGTATAGCTTGTCTTATTTATTTTTAAATATTCCTCTATTAATCTTTATTTTTGTCTTGACAACTGTCAAAATATGCTTTGTCTAATAAATAATTCTCCTTTATTCTAATGTACTTCATTTCTTCCCTCAGGCGTTCACTGCTCGTGTGTGACCATTCGGCGAATTTTATATGCCAAAGTTTTTAAATAATACATCTTTATTATTTATAAAACCTTTTCCAAAACTCTGATTATTTTTTTTATCAGTTGATTGTTTATCATTGATTTTGATATGATCGTTGAACTTTGAGTTTAATCTAGATTAAAAAATTAAATTGTAATAGTTCAATTTCAACATAGAGTTCGATTCCCACCACATCCATGAAGTAGCCTCCTTGACTGTAGTGGCCTTCATGGCCTTGGGGAGATGAATTGAAGTTAAAAAAGTATAAAAAAATTAGATTGGCTGTTATTGTACAGCAGTATAATTATATCAAATGCTTGTTCTTTGTATATAAGTGTACTTTTTTTTTTTTTTTTTTTTTTGTTATTCACCTCCTCAAGGCCGGGAAGGCCACTACAGACGAGGAGGCTACTAATAGTGGTTAATACCCTCTCTCAATTCTATAACTCTGAAACACGAACCTTGACGAACAAGGCCGCTGCACGGAGAAACAAGTTGAGCGCGGTACTACCAGGGATGTGGTGGGGATCGAACTACGAACCTCTCGCTTATGAAGCGAGTGTTTTACCACTACACCACTACCGCATTAAATAACTTATTTATAGTTATTTATTTCAGTCTTTAGTTCAAGAAAATTTTTTTCTTTAAATTTAGTCAGTGGTCGTTCAATAACTTTTCATCATACCAACAAAACTGCTCCTCGACTTGCTTGTGCAAATTTGGGTGATAATCCACAAAGATTTATAGTTTATCTCAATCAAAACAATATCCGTGGTAAGGTTTTGTTTGAACAGAATGGAGCCAATGATAAAGTTTTACAATATTTTGAATTTGAAGATTCTTTGATAACTGAAAAATTTTCATATGCATTTGGCACAAATCCTAATGAAGAAAGAAATTGTACTTTAGCTAATATTGATAACACTATGAGCATCACCGGTTTATCACCTACTTCTATTTCTCTGATTGACAGTTTTACACTCTTCGGTAGTAATAGTATATATGGAAAAACTTTAGTTTTATCAACATCAAATGGTCAACCTTTAGCTTGTGGAACTGTTTTATCTCAAAATGATTTATACTCATTTGTCTATATTTCTAATATCTACATTTCTGGAACAGTTCACTTTTTACAAGCTCAAGATGTCACTTTAGTTTTTGCTTCAATTATTAACTCTGGAAGTACGCCACAAGAGTTTGATTGGTATATTTCAAAAAATCAATTTTCAAATTGCTCTAATTTACGCGAAAGAAATGAAAATTTGGCAGAAACATTTGGATATTTAAATAGCGGAAAATCTTTCACTCAAATCCACACAAATCTCAGTTTGAATGGTGGAAACACTATTAACAACAGAGGTTTAGTTATCTTAGACAAATCTAATAACATTTTAGGTTGTGGTAAAATTCAAAATAATGGACCCTTAAAAAGTTCTGCTATTTTCAATTCTGCAACGCATCAAGGTGTTAATGGTAGTTTTTCATTTACACAAAATTCACCGTTTCACCCCACAAATGTAGTTATTTCTCTAACTGGACTCGGAAAGAATGCAAAAGGTTATCATGTTCACATGTTCCCAATATCTGATTTATCTGACCAATGTTCATCACAAAGTGTTGGTCTTCACTTTAATCCTAACAAAGTTAAAGCTACGACTAGTCCTACTCCTGGCCAAGGTTTTACTTTTTGTATTTATTTTTTTTTAGTTTATATATATATTTTTTATATTTATTTTAAATAATAGCAAAAAAATTGAATTAATATAATAAATATAAATTGCTGACAGATTAAAACTATATTTTTTTATACAAATTATTAATTTTTATTTTGATTTCAGATTTTTGATTTTAATGAAATGAAATGAAGTTTTTAAAACAAGTTGAAAAACATCATTAAACTAATTTAAATTTTTATGAAGTTAAAAATTAAAAGGATAAAAAATGGTGAGAATGAAAATAAAAAAATCTTTTTTTGGTATTTGATTTGAATGTTAAAGTTCTCTTGCCGACTTTTTACTTGATTACCTTTCTTTTTTCTTTTTTTCTTTTTTGTCTCCTACCCAAGTCACTTAATTTGATGTTGTTTCTGATCAAATTGACCAAGCTCTTTTTTTTTTATCCCTTAGCAAATATTTTATTATACATATATTTAATTTAATTTTTTTTTTTTTTTTTTTTTTTTTTTTTTTTTAGCCTATGATAAAGTTTAGCGTGCTGAACTTCTTTTGCATGCTCACAACATTTCTAAAGTCTTTCATAAAGTTTGGCATGCTGATCTTCTTTTATCATGCTTGTCTTGATTAGAAGCCAACACTCTCTGATTGCTTGGAGGGAGAATTTGAGCTTGAAAAGAATCTTATTTCTGCTACAGCATGGGGCTCTCAGTGGTTGGCAAACTTTAACTCAGATAAAACTCAATTTTTTTCCGGTATTTGTTATTGCAATAATCTAGATCAGTCTATATTTTTTAATGGTAATGCACTCAATGAGTCATCTACCCTTTGTCTTCTAGGGTTAACAAATCCATTGCAAAATTAGCATTTCTTACTCAGGATTCTATTCTTTATCTCTATAAATCTTTAATCCTTCCTTGAACAAAATACTGTTGCCATATCTTGAGCAGATCTTTCAATGATGCTCTCTCTCTCTTTTAGAAAAGGTACAAAAAAACATTGTAAACTTAGTTGAACCTGCTCTTGCAGCCAACTTTCAACCATTGTCACATTGTCGTAATGTTGCTTTTCTTTCTCTTTTCTATAAATACTATAATGCTCTCTGCTCTAAAGAGCTAGCACCTCTCTTTTTACTGTGACTATTCCTAAGTGCTTCAAAAATTTTCATCTAGTTTTTTTCCTCAAACATCAGTTCTTTGGAATTTACTCCATTCATCGTGTAATTTGCAAGCTTTTAAGTTGTCTGCTATTTGTTATCTTGCTTTATAAACTTCATATTTTTTCTTCCAGTAACTTTCAACTCTAATAGTGGTTGCTTGCATATTATAAGTGAAGTTGTTAAAAAAAATGTAAATATAAAAAGTAAATTGTTAATAAAAATCTTGAGAAAAAGTAGATCATATGAATCAGGAAAACATGAAGGTTGAGAAAAACATTAAGAGAGAGTTCTAAAGCATTAAAGTGGCAGGAAAAAACAAGGTTAATAAAAGTTTTTAAAATGTAAAGGGAAAGATACAGTAAAACGGTAAATAACAACCAAAACAAGAATAAGTTTTGGTTTCAACTTTACAACTGTGAGAGAGTGGCTCGAGTTCGGTAGATAAGTTCAACAATTTTTAGAGTGGGTTTTTGGAACTTGTCTAGAAGAGCATCATTAGAAGAATTAGCACAAGTATGACAATATTATTCCATACAATTAAGAGATTTGTAGAGCACACACAATAAAAAGAAGCAATCTTAGAAAATGCTAACTTTGGAATAGATTGTATATATAGTTTCTACAAGAGGTCAGTAGTGAATGATAATCCAAATAGATGAAAAGTAGAGAGCTCAGTTGTGGTTTCTATTCATTCATATATATCAGCGCTATTGTGATAGTTGTTTGCAATTAATAACTGAGTTTTGCTAGATTTATAATTCACAAGCCACTGTAAGCCCCAAGCTGTTACAGGAGAGGTATCAGATTTAAGATAGGCTGCCTGTTCTAACTGATCAAAAAGAGAAGACTTTTTGTCAAGACAGGAGTATAAAGCTGAGTTGCCAGCTAATTGTGCCAAGTAAGATTGTTAAGAAGATCATTAATAAATTAAAAAAAAACAAACTAAAAATAGAACCACTAGGTTCTATCTTTAGTCTTTTTTTTCCAATAACCAAAAATTATTGGAAACAAAGAAGAGAAGTGTAACTTTAATACTGCAGTTAGAACAGTTGTTTGAACTCAAAAGACTTCCCAGATACAGCATATGAAACAACTTTATGGAGAAAATCTAGCCAAACTTTATAAAAAGAATTTGTTATTTCAAAAGCAATAGCCCTTGCATTGCTACCTTTATGCACAATAGAATCTTTCAATTACAGCAGTTAGCAGGTCAGCCATAGAATGAGAATATCAAAATTGAAATAAAGATGATGTTGATTGTAAAAGAGTTATTAGACTTAATATGAGATTTTAGGAATTTGTTGACTTCACTAATAATATTGAAGACCTCGCTAATAATATTGTTGTTATTGGTAACTTTAATGCTCATCAAACTTAATAGCTTTCGTACCAAATAATTAAAATTATTTAAATTTCGGGTCCAAATAATTAAGATATTTTTGATATTCTCAATCTTTTACTCATTTTTTTTTCAGTCAACCATAATCCTTTGCACTGTGGTTAGTGTGTTGTCTTTAACCCTAGCTTGTGCTTAGTTCCTCTTTTTTCTTCCTTAGGTTGTTTAGACAAGCCTATGATCACACTAATTTACCTCAAACTTTTCCTACATTAGATTCCACCTTTTCATTGCAATTCTTATTTCCATCATATCGGTTGGGGTCAGTACTTTCCAGCCGGATAAGCAATAACTGGAACAATGCTTAACAAATTAATTCTAATTGATATTTATTGTATCATTTTAAGTTTTTAATCTGTTAGTACATATTTCAGAGGACACCTTGAAAGTAATCAAATTTTTTTAGAGTAGATGCCATCATCTTTGAAAGCCTCAATCTTGCTTTTAGTGACCTTTTTTGATGCTGCCATTTTTGTTTAAAATTTTTGTAATCTTTTGCTGTTTTGTTGCTTTTCAACAAGATTCCTTTTACAAAAAATCAATAATGTATCAGGACAGTTTGAACGATTCACATCTTTACGAATGATTTCATTGCCATTTTGGCTGTACCAACTCTTCTCACTGCAACTGTGAGAAATCCTTTTTGCATTATGTTTCGTTGTCTTCAATAATGCATAAATTTTTTGGGGTAAAAAGTTTGACAAGCTTCCTTGTACAGCAAGTTGCTTTTAATTCTCCATCAATTGATCGCTTCAGAGGTTTTTTTTGGTTTCGGTTTTTTTTGATCTTTTTGTTTTTTTTTGGTTTAAATCTTTAAACTCTTGCTTTTGAGTTTTTTTTATGACAAGGAAACAAATGCATTTATTTTTTTTATTATTTTCATTTATTTTTTTTTTATTTATTATTATTTATTTTTTTCTTTTTGGGATTGGCATGGATTTCTTCTAATTTAACGGATGATCAGATTCACTTTGGTTTTTGTCCACAAAACCCTTTCTTTTTTCACCACCTCTTTTTCTTATAATAGTTTAAGTCTTCTTGTAACACCTCAATGTCTCCTACTGTCATAACAGGAACAATTTGGATTTAGTTAGTTAGGTATTTCTCACATTATTGCTAAGTATATCAAGCTGAAAAGTACTGAGCCCAACTAATAACATTAAAAATAATTTTTGGATTTTCTTTATGATGGCCCTTGTGCTAATGTCTTTTGTCTCAATGTCAAAATTTGCTACTTCTTTATAACCTCCTGGATTCAGGCAGACATTAAAGCTTTCCTTCTTTCTTGTTGGTTTGAATTCAAGCCTCAGACTGAACACAAGTTTTTCTCTTATATGTGCATCTGCAATTTTACATTGTAATTTAAAATCACATTTAAAATAACATAATTTAATTTCTTTCATATTTTCCACAAAAACAATTAATGCAAAAATGTATATTTTATCTTGAAAAGGAAATAATAAATTAATACATAAAATATTAATGTTAAAAGAATAATGAATTAAATGTTTCATCAAACCTAAATAATGATTTTTATTTAGGGACATATGATAAATATCAGGCTGGAGATTTAGGTGGAAAATATGGCTTTCTCACTGATAAAACTGACTTTGATCTCCAAATAATTGATAACAGTTTGCAGTTGTATGGTTTAAACACAATCATTGGTCGGTCAATAGTTATACACTCAAACAATATTATGTCTTTACCGTTTGTTTGTGCTGATATTAAACCTATAGATGGCGTAGCTTTATCATTAATTGCAAATTTCACTGATAATCCAAATTCTGATTTAAATGGAACAATTACTGTGGTATGAATAAAAATGTTTTACACAAGTTTCTGAGAATTATTTTATTATGCATTATTCACACTGTAAATAAACACAGTGGTTTGCCTTTCTAAATTAAAGATTATTCTCATTCTTTATTTAATTTCAAATTAGAAATTTTAGTTTGATTTTTTTACTTTTTTTTTTTTTTTTTTTTTTTAATAATTATAATAAATATCAACAAGACCATTAAAAACAAACTAAAAATATTTAAAAAAATGAGTTACCCATCTGTAAACCTCATCAAGTCAAAAGAATAATTTTTGACTTATTTTTAATTTCCACATTTTTTATGCAAAAATCAATCACCCATTATCAAATATAAATTCTGTTTTAAAATTCTTAATCCTAAAAAATAGATAAAAAAAAGACTAATTTTTTTTTGGCATCGATTTTAATTATTTACCACATGGTTAAAAAGAGCTAAAAGCTCACACTGTTGTATAGGTAATGGAGATGATGGTGATAAATAGCTGATGGAGATAAATAGCTGATATAGGAAAAGCTATTTACTAAGACTACTGCAAGAAAACAAAATAAATTTGTTTCTATATTGTAAGTATTATATCTTCAAGTTAAACCATGTCATTTAAAAACTTAAAAAAGCACTATTATTGTTTATTAGTTTTAAACCACATTCAAAGCACTATTGTTACCATGAACATAAAACAATGTTCAAATGTTTTGAAGTAGAAGACATTAACCTCCATCTTTCAATACTTTATTATCCTGGGGAAAATAAATGTAAATAGATAAATTTATGTTAAAGTTAATAGTCAGATAACACAATCTAAAAAAGTAAGCAACAAAATCTTTAAAAGAGTACAAAAATTATTATTAAATAAAATTTGTTCAAATAATTTAAAAATTAAAATTAATTAAATGTTTAAAAGATATGGAATAGGATTAAATATAAAATTGTCTGTATACCTTCGCTACCTTCATGCTACCTTCATGTTTCTTAAAATGATAACTAGAAGTTCACCCTTATTTATAATCTTTTTAAAATATAAAAGTTTTTCAATTTTTTGCATTACAGATGTGAAGACCTTCGGTTAATGGAAAAATATGCCTAAGCTTGTTTTCATTGATCCAGTTTTTAACTCCATAACTTAAATTTAAAATTAATTCTTTAATTTATAAATTTAAATTAATCATTAAAATTAAAGTATAAGTAACAGCTTAAGTATTGACATTTTTTTTATTAGTATTATCATTGTCATAGTTAAAATAATTATCATAATTAATCAGTAGCTAGACAATTAATTTGTGCTTAGAGGCAGTTTAATCAATCCAATGGAGTCTTAACACCTTCAGTCATGGTGTTGGATCTTGCATATAAAAACAGCTCTGTAGAGGTTTGAACTTTAAAATGTGTTTAAAATGTGTAAAAAAAATTTATATTTAATTTTTTAACACTATATCAAATCTATAAGTGCATTTTTATATAATATTAAAATTGATTTTTGAAATTTAAGCCTAATGATCTAAACTTTCATGTTCTTGAGTCGCTTGTGGGCTACGATCAAAGAAATTGCAGTGGCAAATATTATAATCCTGCAGGTGTCAGTCTTAAACAAGTAATGTAGTTTTATAACTATATATATATATATATATATATATATATATATATATATATATATATATATATATATATATATATATATATATATATATATATATATATATATATATATATATATATATATGTGTACACATTTTTTTTTTGCAAAAAACTAAAAGTAAAAATATTTTTAAATATTTTTATCAAAACAGTTAAAGAAATATATTAAATGCATTTTTCAGCCAGATTATTGTAAAGCTTCCCCGTATGGATGTCAAATTGGGGATATCAGTATGAAAGTTGGAACCTATAGTCTTGGTAGTAAAGAATTTTACTCTGATGTCAATATGCCTTTGTTTGGAACAACATCAAGTAGGAGGTTTTTTTTTTTTTGTAATTATAATTGAAAATTATTATTTTTTAAAATATGAATATATATATACATATATATATATATATATATATATATATATATATATATATATATATATATATATATATATATATATATATATATATATATATATATATAGTATTATATATATATATATATATATATATATATATATATATATATATATATATATATATATATATATATATATATATATATATATATATACAGGGTGCGACAAATCAGCGAATGTACGAACATTTGTTTAAAAAAAGCAACAAAAAAATGAACGTCATGTTTCTTTACTTTTAATAATGCAAACATTGGGGTTTAGAAATTTTTTAAAACGAACGCATTACTTTAGCAATTTTTTCAAAATAATTATGCAATTGATAGTTTTTTATTTATTATAAAAATTTCATATTTACAATAAAAAGCAATTAGTTACTAAAATTTAAAAGCCTTTCAAAGAAACCATATAAAAAATTGATTACTTTTTTCAATAGCGCTACTTTTAACAGGTCTTCGCGTAAGAGGTGTGCGGTTGTACGCCTTATATGAACACGCACATCATACTTTGTTTAGACAACTTTGACAATGTTTTTGAAGTTCTTTTTTAAAAAGACACCAACGTTTACATAAGCAAAAGTAAATAAATGTGACATTTGTTTTTCTGCCTTTTTTTTTTAATAACTGTATGCACATTTGTCGATTTGTTGCTTTCTGTATTCTATTAAAATATAAAATTTATAATTTGCACCACAAAATTTTATTAAATCTCATGGCACTTTTAAACAGCCTAATTTACTTACGTTTTAGAACTTTACGTTTGTGTAAAATATATCGATTTCTAAAATAATAAGTAATAAATATGAAATGAGGGTCATTTTTTGCCAACCTCTAACGGGTTAAAGTTGGCAAAATATGGCCAACTTTATTTTTCCTATTTCCAAGGGCTTATATATATATATATATATATATATATATATATATATATATATATATATATATATATATATATATATATATACATACATACATACATACATACAAATAGTATTGCGTACTAAGATAAGCAATCTGGCGTCATACTGAAATAGCCTGCTGTTGGGGGCTTCAGTACATACATCCACTGACAAATAGCCTGACTCGCAGTGGAGTGCTGGTACACTCTTTAGTAAGTTTATATATATATATATATACACTAACCGGCAAGAGTTTCCGGTCACTCTGTTTTTTGTAAAGAAATATATAAAAAAACAAATTAACTAACTACAATTAACTAAATATAATTACAAATAACTACAAACTAATCAACCTCTTTAAACCTATGATAAAAATAAACAAGTTTATGCAATACAACACAATCAAAAGTTTATGTATTTTTTTCATCAAAAAATCCACCCTTTGCTTTCCTTACTGCACAAACAAGTTTTGGCATACGTTTGATTAAATTATCAAAAATACATTGGAGAAATATTATTCCACACTTGTTGAAAAATTGACCACAAATGAGTTGTTGATATAGGACATTCTTTTCTTATCTCATGATCCAGTTGTTCCCAGAGTAAATCCATTGGGTTGAGATCAGGGGATTGTGGTGGTTATGTCATAACTTTGAGTTCTCCACGAGCTTCCTTTTTTTGCAAATAGTTTATACAGTATTTAGATGCGTGTTTTGGGTCATTATCCTGTTATATGGTGAACCTGTGTCCAATTAAATGCTTTCCACAAGGCACGGCATGTCTACATAATGTCTTGTGATATCCGTTCTTATCAAGAATTCCATTTATTTTCACAAGATTACCAACCTGATTAAAACAAGATTACCAACCTGATTAGAAGAAAAACAGCCTCAAACCATTACTGAACCTCCACCATGTTTGACAGTAGGCTGTATACACAGTGGATGAAATTTTTCAGTTGCTGTTCGTCGCACATAAATCCATTGCTTTGTTCCAAAAATTAGAAATTTAGATTCGTCCGTCCACAATACATTTTGCCAGTCTATCTGTTAAACTTGAATGTGTTAGAGCCCATTGAAGTCTTTTTTTCCGATTTAATGCTTTTAGAAGAGGTTTTCAAACAGCTATTCTACCATTTAAGCCAATAGTTTTCAAGTGGCGTCTTTTCTTGGGCTGTTATTTGTCTATTTTGTTTATATGAGAGTATAATTGATTTGTCCTCAGCCTTTGATGTTTTGCAGGGGTGTCCAGTTCTTTTCCTATCTTTATTTGTACCAGTACATTTAAGCCGACGAAAAGTATTACTCACTGTTGATTGCTGTTTAGCCTAGGATAAGTTTTTTTGCATTTTTTAAACATTTGTCAAAAGATGTTAACAGCTGTGGTTAATCTGTCAAAACAAATATATATATGTGTAAGTAATATAAATGTGGTCAAATAAAGACATGCAATTGCACGCCTTCCTGATCAAGACTGATGACATGGTTTTGCAATACAATATTAAAAATAAATTAGTAGAAAATCACTTATCAAATTGTTTTATTTTACCAAGTGTTTCATTAATAATAACTTTTCAGAAGTTATCTTGATGAAACACAATTTGATGAAAATATTTTTTTTGCTGACTTTAGGTCAACCTCTAACAGTTTAAGGTTGGCAATTTATTGCCGACCTCATTTTTTCTAATTCCAAGGTCTAATTATTGTGAGCACTTTTAAGAAACTAGATGAGTGGATGTACTATAAAAATTTTTGATATTATATTATATAAAATTTTTTATATAATATAATATAAAAAATTTTAATATTATTTTTATATCCACTCGTCTAGTTTCTTAAAAATGCTCATTGATTAGCCAATATTATTTGACTGAATCCAGAGCTGGATTAAATTATACAAAGCCATGGTAGTGACTAGAGTTGCATAAATCCTGATAAATGCAATAAAAATTTTATATTGGAATAAATTATGTATAATATATATATAATTAACCCTTATAATATATATAATCAACCCTTAGAATTAGGAAAGACAAGGTCAGCAATAAATTGCCGACCCTAAACTGTTAGAGGTCAAAATTATATTTTTTATCAAAATGATAAAAAATATAATTTTGATCAAAATTAAAAAGGGTTTAAAATTCATTTAAAGCTCAGATTCAAAAGTCTTTAGTATTACAATTTGTTTGAATGCCATTCAAGGCATTTTTGAAACTTATTTTAAATAGTTTTGTTTTCATATGCTATTTTTATATTAGTTGCAAATGCTTGTTTTTGTCATTAAATGTCAGTCAATTTTAGTAATCATATATTTATATAAATAATAGTCTCATTTATTATGTATTTTTTTTATTGTAGTATTAAACCATTCAATTTCATTGGAAGATCCAAACAAAAGTCCCCCGGGATTGGCTTGTGCTGATTTAGTTCCAACTGGAGACAGAGTTGCTAATTTCTCTCTTCGATTGAAATTATCAATCAATGAGTGGGTATTTTAAAATAGTTGTTTATAAAATCTTAATGACAATTAATTAATAGAACTAAGTTGCTAATGAGAGTTTAGCATAAAAAAATATTTAAAAAAATAATAAAATAATTTTAAAGTTTTAAAGCTGTTAAAGCTATTTGATATATTTAAATCATTTATGGTAATTTTATTGTTTGCTACTGTAAATTTAGGTTGGCAGTGTACTTATATATTCTGCTCACTTTAATTTTAAAGTGGCAATCTTGATGCTAAATTGGGAATCTTGACACTTTTAAACAATGAATTAAAAGAACTAGATTTAAAAAAAAAAAATTATTTATTCACATTCACATGTGCAGGCATTGGCATGATTAAATGAGTGCACAAACTACAGTCCATCTAAAATGCCAGTCTAGATGACCTTGCGCTGGTTTTTTAGAAAAATTAAAAAAAATTAAAAATTTTTTTGTTTATATCATTATTTTTATATACATTATTTTAATTCACTGTATAACAAATAAATAATAATATAAAAATACTATAATATAATCAATCATTTTAATAAAACTATATAAAAATACTGTTCAATATATTGTTTAACAAAAACTATTGATTTAACTTCTATTTTTATTTTGTACTTATTATTAAGATTCATTCTTTTCTCTTCTTTGTGAATCAAAATGTCATAGAATCTGAAAATTTTGACAGGTACTATAATACCAAGTGGGAGAGCGACAAACTGTTTAAAATTTTTTTTGTAATTAACCTTGAATAAATGACTTGGATACTAGTAACTTTAAGGTAATAGTGCTTTTAAAACAATTGCACTATGTGGCTTTGTTTTATGTTTTTGTTTTGTTTTGTTTTATGTTATTCAATTGTTCTCTTTGTTTATTTTCATTTTTTATATTATATGTAGTATTAAGTTTTTTATGTATTATTATTATTTTATTATGTGTTATGTAGTAATTAAGTCTTTTTTTTGTTATATCACATTCTAAATTAAATTTTTTCATTTTTTTGTTTACAATTAGATCATGTGAGAAGTCTTTAAAAAATAACTAAATAATAAACATTAACATGTATAACTTTTTTTCCAACCTTATTTTGCCCATGTAAACTGACTTTCACAGGTGTGCAGGCGGTTGCGAGCTAAAGCCCAGCATTCCTGATAAAACCTATATATGTATATATATATATATATATATATATATATATATATATATATATATATATATAAATATATATATAAATGCCGTTGTTTCTATTTTAATTAAAAAGTTTCAATTTCTATTCAGTAAAATCTAAAATAATAATTTTTTTTTATAAACTGATTATTTTTGACATTTTTATATTTCACTTCACTTGATACCCAACAAGGCTGAAAAACTTTGATTTATTAAAATTAGGGACCCAGTAAATTTTTAAATCAAGTTTTATTTTATCATATAGAACACCTTAACGTGCATGCAGATATTATTCAAAAATGTTAAATATACAAATGTTTTTAACTTAAGATGTGTCGATCAGAGACCTCAGGAAGTCATAACTTATGTGGTTTTCAAAGTGAAAATGTAAGCAAAGTTTTTAATAAAACCATGTGAAGTTGTTGTTTTTCTGGACTACTGTGGAGCATTGATTTGAAATTGAAAGTCAGAAGTGCAATGTGACCTTTAGTTTTTGAATTTTTAAGTAAAATATATAGGTTTATTAAAAAACACCAAAAGGCGTATTTCAGGATGTAATGGTAATAATTAACAATTATTTTTTTTCATATTCAAAGTAAAACTTTTTTTTAAATTTTTTATTATCATTATTTATCTTTTTAAAAATATTTCAACCGCATAAAAGTCAGATAACAAACTTAAGGTTTCAACTTGAGGCATTCTTATAACTCCATGGTTACATAGCAATTAAATAATCTGGTTGTTAGGGAAACAATTAAATTTATAACTCAATAGTTATAATAATAAAAGGTTTTATTGGAAAAAAATTATTAACTTATTTTACTATTATTTAATTTTATGTGCAATAGTTTTTTAATACAGATTTTTATTAAAGATCAGCGGTCTTTAAGTTAAGTTCAGAATTACGAAATCTCCACCATCGCAATCGCTTTATTCAACCTTGGCATGGTTTCTTTAATTTATTACAATCATTTAAAGCAATTATGGAATATTAATTTTTTTTGCAATTATTGCCAATGTTAGATAATGCTTGTATTTTTTTATGCAAAATACTAGTGTTCTAGCACTCAAAGTTTAATATTTTAAGTTAGATAATTAAAGTATTTAAGATAAATAGATAAATAAATATTTCTGAGCAAGTAGTTCTACAAAAAAGACTTGTAAAGGAATGATATCAGCATTTCAGTACCAAACCAAAAGTTTTTTATGTACATTGTACATTTATAAAAACTTAAGTATTATTTTCAAAACTAAATATTATTTTCCAAAACAAGCAAGCTGCAAAAGAAAACCACGATATTCTTGTTGATGCTTAAATAACACAAACTCAAGCTGTAATATTTTTCTTCATAATAAAGTGACAATCATATTGTTCCTTAATTTTCTTAGGCAAAGAAAATTAAGGAACTAAGAAATTAAGGAATTAAGGAATTAAGAAAGGCAAAGAAGTAATTTTGTCTGTTCTCAAAACTTTACAAGTTGACAATTTATTTACATAGCATGACCACGAGTATCACTAGCTGATTTAAAGCAAACATAAAAGTCATTATTTCTAATACAAGAAGCTAAATGCTCCCCAGGGGGGAGCATTTAGTTTTTTTAAGGCATCAAGAAAAGAAACTTAAATAACTATCAAAATGGTGGTTCAAGTAACTGTGAGATAATTCCTGCAAAAATGAGTAAGTCTCTTGCATCATTTTTTTTAAGAAACAGTCCTTAGTAGAGAGAGTGGTCAGACTTGCAGCTGTTGATGGATTTTCAATTCACAGAATACGCAAAAGTGAGTTTATTTGTCAAGCATTAAGTGAAAAACAATATGATCTTCCAAAAGGTAAAAATAATGTGATAAAACTAATTTATGAATATTGTGCTATGGCAAAAAATGAATTTATTATTAAAATAAAATCGCATAAAGAAAAAAGTGGAAAATTTAGTCTAACATTTGAGGAACGGACAAATCAGCGCAGTTAAAGATTTAGATATCAATATTTATTTCAATAAGTTATTAATCTAGGATTGGTTAAAATGTATATCAAGCTAAAGTAAAAATTGACCTAGTTAAAGAGAAACTATCAGAGTTTGCAATTATTTCTTTAGATGTTGTTGCATCAACCACTGGTGCTGCCGCAATAATGATCAAATTTGGTAGATTATCTGGTTTTATACACTAATTATGTTATAACCATAGCATACACTTGGCTATAATGGACATTATTTATAAAATAAAAAATTCTAATGTTCGTCACATTGATTTTTTAGAAAATGAATCAAGATTTTCCAGTGATAACTCTTGCGACTCTGAAAATGATAATATTAAAGACAGATTGGGGATAGCTTTAACTGCACCATAAAAAGTGTGTTATAACTAAAGATATTAACCTCAAAAAAGAATTTTAAATGTATGAGAATACTGGAAGTATTACAAATAACTAAAAAAACTGCTTGATGCCTTAACTTGCGTAAAACCAACCTCAATAGAAAGCGATAGAGTATTTTCATTGTTGTCTAATTTTTGTTCAAAACAAAGATCATCACTTAGTGACTTATCTCTAGACCGCCTTGCAATTTTAAAAAGTTGTTTCCTAATCAAATAAGTTCAAAATATTTATTCAAGTAAAATTAATTTTTCTCAATATATGTATTACAAATTTTAAATATGCATACTAGGGTGGATCAATTTTTATACCAAAAAAAATAATTTGAAAATAAATATTCCTGAGACACAATTCGATGTCTATTAATTATACAAAAAAAGTAAAATAAGAATTTATAATTTTGATGAGCTCTTAAGATTCATATTTGGATTTTAAATTCTTGACAGCTCCTAATATTTTTGATTTTTTTTTCTCTTCTTTCGTAACCATATCAACTTTGGACAGCTCCTAATATTTTTGATTTTTTTTCTCTTCTTTCGTAACCATATCAACCTTGGACAGCTCCTAATATTTTTGACTTTTTTTTCTCTTCTTTCGTAACCATAAGAACCTTGGACAGCTCCTAATATTTTTGATTTTTTTTTTCTCTTCTTTCGTAACCATATCAACCTTGGACAGCTCCTAATATTTTTGATTTTTTTTTCTCTTCTTTTGTAACCATATCAACCTTGGACTCAAAAAAAGCAGGAAAAAATGCTCTTTTTTTTTTAAATTATTAACCTCCCCAAAGCCCGAGGGGGCCACTACAGTCAAAAAGGCTAATCTTTTTTTTTTTTTTTGTTGAAAATCGTGGTACAACTCTTTCGTGGTCGAACTCTGAACCTCTTGCTTACAAAGCGAGCGCTCTTACCACTACACCACTACCGCATTAATTGTTTTATAAATAATACACATAAAACCCCTGGTTTTAACAAAACGAGGGTTTTATGTGTAAATGCTTTTAAAGAAAAAAATGACTATTTTTTATTCCTTTATTTTAAAATAAAAACAAATATTATTTTTAAAATCAACATATTAATCTGTTGTTTTTTTTTGAAAAAATTTTAACAATATTAGGTGTAAATGCTTTTAAAGAAAAAAATGACTATTTTTTATTCCTCTATTTTAAAATAAAAACAAATATTATTTTTAAAATCAGCATATTAATCTGTTGTTTTTTTTTGAAAAATTTTTAACAATATTAGGTGTAAATGCTTTTAAAGAAAAAAATGACTATTTTTTATTCCTTTATTTTAAAATAAAAACAAATATTATTTTTAAAATCAGCATATTAAACTGTTGTTTTTTTTTTTGAAAAAATTTTCACAATACCCGTAAAAAATTTAGAATCCAAAGGGGATTCAAAAATTTTTTAAATATAATATTAAATTGGCAAATAAAATTGGGAAATTACTGATTTAAAATAAGGCTTTTAATATTTATTGATTATTATTAGAAAATTTGACAAGGTGTCAATTTTCAATGATTAGAATGTGTTTTTAAAAAAAAATTAATAAATATTTAGTTTTAGTTTTTCAGTCTATTGATCTAAAAAACATGTTTTTTAGAAAAAATACATTGTACACTATTTTGATACAATCACTGAACTTGAATGCAGATTCTTTGTGGAAGTTTGCATATATAAATGCAAGCATAGTAGACAGTGCATGCACTCAATTTACAATCTACTTAATAGGTAAGTTATTTGTTAAATTTATTTTGATATTTTTCATGGTTTTTTGACACTTGAATACTTAGGAGTACTATGTTTGAATCAAAAATAGTATATGCTATTGCATACACTTTTAAATCTTTGATAAGATGAATTTTTTCAGTAGGTGTCATATTAAATCAGTAGCAGCTTCAGGTGGCAAATTAAATTTAACATCATTGGCAATTTTATTATCTAGAAGTTTTCACTAAAAAGGAATGTTATGTCTAGTTGCTTTAGTTACCTGGTTTCAGTAGAATAAGTTGCTCATTCGTGTAGTGCAATACTATAGCATCTTGTTTTATAGAATCTAGTTACCTTGGTTACCTGGTTTCAATAGAAGATGTTGTAGTACATTACATTTAATATGGATTATTGCTAATATAATTTGTTGGTTTCCATTTGTACCTTGTATAAAATATTTAAATATATGAGTTCTTCATTGAATCTTTTGGGATTCATTGTTGTCTAAAACAATTATTTATAAAACAATTTTAAATGTTTTTTATTATGTTTATTATAAATTATTGCACAAGTTACAAAGTTTTCAGCCTGCATTATGCAAACTGCATGACACACAAAGTATTTTAAATATTGTATGTTTATTTTATTATATTTAATGTTTTATATTATATTAACTATGTGTAATCTATATATTTTATTCAGTTTATTTACATTATTTAGTTATATGTATTTTGTCTCATTATTTCTAGATGATTCGGTTTTGAAAACAGACTCACAAAAATACAATGACCAAATTAATGAAGCCAAAAAAGGTTCTGATCTAATGCCACTGCTTAAGTGTGGTAAGATATTTACATTTAAGTGCAGTAAGGTCTTTGTGTTTATATGTAATAAAATATTTGCATTAAAATTTTAGAAAGTAAAATAATTTTAAAACTGGACTTCAAAAATATATTTAAATAAATTTGAAATTTTATTTAAATATTTTTGATTTTACTTTATTAGTTGTTTTTTTTTAATATTTAAAAGTACTTTATTTTGGAAAATTTGTATTATTTTTTTTATGGATTATTTTTCAATTGTGTTATATTGAATACTAGTTGCATTGCAAATAGATTCTCTTAATTTCTTGATTAGTAGTTTTCCTGATAATTTTAATTAAGCTATTTATAAAACACTAGCTGATCTGACTCGTAAAAATACGGGTCTTTGTAAGTCTATTCCACACTGACCTTTTCTATACTTTTTCCTTATATATATATCCTAGCTTTCCGAACCCTTAAAATATGGGTCTTGTTTATTTCAATATTTTTACGTAAAACAATTCATTTAAAAAAATTGCTTTAAGAGCAAAAAAATTAACATGCGAACCCTTTCAGCATGCCTAGAACTTATAAGAGATTCATAATTAGGTTTGTTTTTCTCCTAAATGCATACGATTGATAGCTCAGTAGTTTAGTGTGCTGTCACCAGTGTCATTTTGGGGGATTTAAGACATCCCTTAATAAATTTTGAAATTTTTCATTCTGGCTATATTTATAGCAATATTTATAGCAAAAAGTTTATAACAGTATCGCAGTTTATTATTATTTTATAATAGCAACATTATTTTATAATAGTATAGCAGAACTGAGAAGATCTTAGACCATTATAAACTATAAAACTTGGTTTTGAATGTTTATCGGGGGTGTGTTAAAATCGCTGTTTCCTTATTGTATCAATATTACATAATTTTAACTTTTAATTATTTTTAAAAGTAATTAGTTTAATAAAATGATTTAATTTAAATATAAAATTAGAATTTTTACTTTTGTTCTTATAAAAAACGTACTTTTTAAACCCCCTTACTGTTTTGAAAAAGTTAAGGTCGTCGCTTGGCAAGTTTAAATCTTCAGCTTATTTTTGTTATTTAAAATGCAAAACAAAACAACTTTACAGTTCTATGGATTTTATATTCTATATATAAACATGTTGTATACTCATTTTTCTTGCACAAACTTAACTTAGTTGTAAAAAAACTTGAAATGTAAAATTAAAATAACAAAAATAACATAAGTATCTCAACCATGACACATAAGCAACAATATCCCCCCCCCCTTTTTTTTTTTTTTTTTTTTTTTTTTTTTTTTTTTTTTTTTTTTTTTTTTTTTTAGAATTTTTAGCTTTTAAAATCTTTTTGTTTGTTAAGGTGTATAACCTTGTAAGATATGTTTGTATACGATCTTTATAAAACTTTACAAGTAATTTTAAAAATTAAAAAAAAGTGCTGCTGGTGGTTGGATTCAAACCACAGCTTCCTTGTTCAGATGCTCAGCACACTAACCACTCGGCCATGCTAGCACATGGATCATTGAAATTTTAAAACTATATAAAATTTGTTTTTAACAAAAATAAACTCTGTAGATCAAAAATTAAGAAGAGGTTGATGCAATGCAGCTTTTAAATGAAAGTCAAATTATAAAACTTGATATATGTTTAAGTATGTTTGAAACTACATAATATGAAGTTTATGTAGATAGGATATACCTTTCATGTTTGCTCACATTTTCTTATTAAGCCAAGCTGCGACTCTTTTTTGCCAGTACCTCAGTTGCAATGGCTGCCAAGGGTTTCGTGTCAAACATGCTTTAAGGGACACTACTACTATTAAAACTATTAATATTATATATTCGACAATAAAATATATAGAGATTTTAAAAAATACTTTAAAAAAATTCAGTTTTCTGAAACCAATCCCAAAATGTTTTAGAAAACAGTTATTTTTTAAATAAAGTTAATAAAATAAAAAAGTAAAATTAAAAACAAACTTTAATTAGAGTTTATACAAAAACTAGCTTTTTTGAAAAAATGGTTTTCATGGTACGAATTTCCAAAAAATCTGATTTTAACCAGTTTTTAAACTTTTGTAAGAGAATTTCAATAGGGAGAAGTATTTTATTTTATTTATATGAAATCACAAAAACCAATATCAAATGTTATTAGTCAATATCAAACATCAGTATTAAAGTTGAAATATAAAAAAAATGGATTACACAGAACATTGAAAGCTTTCAAAAGCAAAAATTTTGAATTAAAAAAAAAAATTATATAATTATTTTTATTTTCACTTATTTATATTTTTTGTTCCAAAAACATTAGCCCGTTAACCAAAATTTTAAAAACAGGTTTTAATTTTCTAAAAATTTTTTTTGTTTTTAAATCATCAAACCCTAAAATTAAGAATGTATAAGCAGAAGCAATTTTAGGTGTGTGTGTGTGTGTGGGGAAGAAAGGGAAGAGTCATGCAACCCCCCCCCCCCCCCACACACACACACACACACAAACACACACACACACCAACTCCCTCTTTTTTATTTGTACAATCATCTCTGTGCATAAGTAGTCAATTTTGTTTAATTTTGTTAAGATTTGTGTTAAAAAATCATAATTAAAAATGTGATTTTTTTACTTTCTACTTTAAAATAGTTTGAATAAGTGAGTCTATTCATTTTTATTTGCAGATAATGACTTGTGTGATATCGATGAACACTGTGGCTCAAATGCAGTTTGCAACAATCACAATTGTGAATGCACTTATGGTTATGAGAGAATCAATTTTAACTGTGAAAAAAAAAGAAATCGTAAGTATTTAGTTTAGATTTTAACAGTTATTTTAATTAAAGGAAAGTTTACTATTTAAAAAAGTATCAAAAATTTATAAGGAATATTGTTTCTGTAAATATAATTTAGTAACAGCTTTTTAATCTTTTGTATAGATCTTTTTAATTTTTTCTGTTCACCTGTTTTTTTTTGCACCAAAAAAATTGAAGGTTTATTTGATTTTAAATTGACTTTTTTTTAAAACGTTAAAAAATAAAAATATCATTGTTTTATTTTTAAATGACAAAAAAGTTAAAAATAAGTAATAAAAATAGCTATAAATAAACAAAGTTTTATTTAATTTAATCATCCAGTTGTTCATCCATTTTTTTAATAAGTTGGTATTGTTTTAAATTATTATGATTTTTTCTGTTTTTTGGTAAGCTTAATTACTAGTAGTTTTGCTTTGTTTAACTTATTGTGTAGTCTTTCTAAGCAAATTGTGTTTGGTTATAGATATGCTGAACAATGGGAGTAATACTGTGTCTTGAAGTACACCACTTTTGACTAATTCTCATTGTAAAATAAATTTTTCTGTAATTACTTTTTACAAATTTCTCTTTGATATTAATGGCTTAAAAAGCAATTACACCAAACTAAAATATTGTTTATTTCATAAGTGATCAAGCTTGCAATTTTCTTTGTATTTCTAAAGAGTTTTGGCTTGCAAATAGAATTGAATACTTTTTTGAAATCCAAAAAGATTAAAATATTAAGCTTGTTTGTGAGAAATCTTGTAATAAAATCCACATCGTAGTGGTTCAAATCGTAGACAAAATGAAAAATCAATGTTTTGGAATGAAAATATTTCATGATTTTGCAAAACTAGAATGAAGTCTGAATGGTTGTCATGGCTGGTTAAGAAATAACAACCCTTTATAGTTTTGAAAAGCCTCTAAAATTATTTATAAAGCATAGTTAGATTTTTCTCTTACATTTTCTAATAGGATATATATGCACCAGGTTTATAGTCAAAAATGAAAACAATACTTACTTAAAAGTTGAATATAAATGAAAAAATTAACTTTTTTAAAGGTTTTTACTAAAAAAAAAAGTTTTTTAATAGTGAATGAAAAAGTCTGTTTTACCTATAAAACTCTTAAATTTTGGAACACTTGATCTATAATTTTTGAGATAATTAAATACATTAAATCTTCAAAATGAGAGTTGGGTTTGAAACATTAAACCAAATATAAATTAGAAACTACATATTATTACCTTTAATTTGGTATGCTTACCAATTACCGATTTTTTTGATTGGTTGAAAATACTTTTAATCCTTTTTAGACATTTCCCAAAGAAATAGTATAAATTTTTTGAAAATTTGTAAGACGGAAAAAGTCTAGACTATAAAAGACATCAACAGGCAACCATCATCAGTCATATTATCAGACGCATCAGACAACAACAGACACCATTCTCATGATTTTTAAAACATAATATTTTATCTAGGGAAATAATATTTTATCTTTGGAAATTTATTTCTTAAATACTTAAAAGCCTGTTCTTTTTTTGTTCATACCTTTGACAAACATTTTTATCAAACCTAACTTAATATGTAATGGTGGAAGAAGTTCATCTTTTGAATCCACGAATGGGTCAGTAATAACATTTTTTTCATCTGTGTTAAAATTTCTTGTCTTCTATACTCTAATTGCATTCCTAAATGTATAGAAATGACTTTTAGATAACCACAAATTTTCTATTTGTATTCATTATAAACAATTGAGTTGAGGAGGACTTTCATGTTTATATAAGTCTATTTCATGTGAACTGCATGGCCAATAGGAATAGAAGGAAGACGGTCTCCATTGTGCAGTAATGCAGCTTTCAAGTTTAGCTTAGATTAGTTTATGAATAATCTCCATTCAGTCGGATCATAGTTTAAATGAAGATAATACATCAACTCAAAGACATCAATGCCAACAACAAGATTATTTTTTTTCTCGAAAAAAAAAAGCAGATTTTGCTACCGTTTTCTGTGAAACTTTGACATCAATTTGGAGGGGATTCCATTGCTTTAGTCTTAACCCTAGAAGTTCTGCCTTTTCCTTTGACAAGTCCAGATCTCGAACAAGGTCACTTAATTCTGCTTGACTCAATCTTTATGGCACATCATCTGTTAACACAAAATCAGGATTATTTGATGTAGAAGATTTTTTTTCTTCTTTTTCTTCTATTAGTTTTTCATTTTTTGCCTTACAGATTGAGTCAATACGTCTATACGAAGGAAATATAACTCTATTACTGGTAAACTATTCAAATGTGGAATATGTTGAATGGTAGATGGAAGATTAGGATATTTAACTGTTCCTATTTTCTTCATTGACAAACCTGCCTTAATGGGTTGGGTCAAGCGGAAATAGCAGTCTTTTGTATGGTTTTTCGGCTAAAAAAAATACTAAGAATAGAATTAGATCAGAAGCTTTGGCAAACGCACACAACTAATATCACAAGTTTTAAACATAAATAAAACATGGGTAGTCAAAAATAATTTTTTTTACTTTCAAATGAAAATTTATTCCATTGAGAGAAAATTTTTGCTTTTATTTTTTTAAACTAGAGCTATTACGTCATTTTTAATGTCATTTGTGAATCCAGCAAGTAGAAATACATAACAAATAACTTTTGTTCCGATACAAAATCACTGTTGGGCAGTGTTATTATTTTTCCATCAGTCTGCAAATTAGGACTTTTTTGTACCTTCAGTCAGCAAATTGGAATCTTTTTTTAGATTCAGTTGGCAAAATGGAACTTAAATTATTTATCTCTAGTGGGAAAATTGAGGAATTGGAGAACTTTTTTTTCATCAGCAAAAACCGTAAGGCACTCCTCCTCCCCCTTCCCCCTCCTCATACCTATTTGACGCTTGGACCCCTTAAAATCTCTTAATATTTAAAAAATTTAGAATGCAATGTTTTTTTTTTGTATAGCACATTTTTAGTAGGTGGTATCAGACTTTTTATAAAAACATTTTTTTAAGGGACACTAATATATATGTTATTAAAATTAATAACAGTGTTATTAATTCTATTAGCTATCTTGCCAAGTTTAAGTATATTTTTCTCGGATTTTTTTTTCTTTTTGTTAATTAGAGAACAAAACATTGTCAACAATAGTTTTTTATTTTTTTAGGTTCGCTATTTATTGCTGGAATCGTTGTTCCTCTTGCATTTTTATTTGTTGCATTGTCCGCTGTTCTACTGGTTTGGTGTATACGGAAGCATCGATCCAAAAAAATCGTTGTTAACGCATACGATAATCTTTAAAATAGATATTAGTTAGGCTTCAAATTTTTTGGGGCTTTTGAATATTTTATATAGCTTCTTTTTTTAATGTTTTTTGTTTGTTTCATGACGCTCGTTTACAGGCGATTGTATTTTATTTCTGATTAGTTTTTTACCATAAAAATCACATTTTTTCTTGTTTAAATATGTCATTTTTACTTAGCGCATTTATATTTATATTTTTTATTTATATTGAGCTTTAGTTTTAGTACGTTCTTAAATTGCTGGGATGCTTTTTTTTTTTGTAACCTTTTTTCTCTTTCTCCACGCAAAACTTTCAGTTTCCCTTTTTTTTTAAAAAAAAATTCAACTGTGAAGAACAAAATCATCTCTTTAGTGTAAGTCTCTGTTTGGTTAACACAATTAATAGATCTTTAAACAATACCAAGCAATCTCAGTCTTTAAACAATACAAAATATTCCATATTACTCTTCCTAATATGTTTTATACTGTGTTATGTATATATTTTGGGGTATGTTTTATATATTTTTTATCAGATTTCTCTTCCAATGAAATTTATGTATATTTATTCGTTATTGCTATTTATTATAATGAACTATCGTGTACACATATCTTTATGATGAGATTGTCTTTTTGCCAAATTTTATTAAATTTCTTAAATCAAATTTTCTCTCTTTTTGCTTTATTATTTTTTGAACCTGGAATATTTTAATGAATGTAAATTATTTGTTAAGATATTATTAAGATATTTAACGTCAAGTTTTGTTTTTTAAAGTTCGACTTTAGGTGTTTATATAATCCCTGCAGAATAATTTGATTCAAATTGCGTAATAAATGGTATCCAGATCTCTACAAAAACCAAAGCTTATCTGGGTTGTTATTTGTTTCAGCTGCAGATGTTTTAACTGCTCTCCTTAAAATTAATAACCATCCCGGAGTGTCAGCCGGGGTTTAAACTAGCTTACATCATCCCTAAAATAAATGAAGCCGGTCAAATTAAGCCTATTTAAATTTGTATTTGTTTTGTCATATGACACTGGCCAACATTGGGGCGTAAATTCTCATTTATGTGCTTATCTTTGCGCTTAGTGTAATCGTCACCTGAGAAATGGTTTGTTAAACAAACTAATTTACATATTGTTGGTAAAACGCGGTTAAAGTTTGAGAGAGTATTATTGCTATCGTATTTTATCTCTTTTTTTATGTCGTAAATAGTTGAGTTGTTTCAATGTATAATATTTACTTAAAAATTATTTGTAATAACTTTAAGCCAAAAATTAAAAAGATATTCGCATACCTTATTTGGACATTGAACAAAACTGCCAAGTGCTAATCTTTACAGGATATTGAACCATCCAAATAATTAACAAAGCAACGCAACTTTACATAAAATACATAATCTTGTTTGCTATAACATTTTTACAAAATGAAATAGCATAAAAATAAAAAAAAATTCTCTACGCAACATATAGGTTATCACAAACTTGAAAAACTATATTATTATGTTACATAATGCTCAACTTGATGCTCATTCGTGTGTTTTTGAACAGGTCTCAAGGAAGCCATTGCACCGGAGTTAATAGCGAAAAAGAGTCGCAGCACCTTTTTTTAAAAAGAAATTTTTTTGTTTATTAACGTTTAACGTTCAATTTTTTACGTTTTACTCAGCGCACAGTATTTTTAGCTAAAGAAAAAAGATTTTACATTCAAATTTTATTTTCTTCGAAATTAATTAACGGGATGAAGGTCCTAATAAAGCGCGGATAGTCTAAAGAAAAAAAAACTTTGTATCGAAAAAATTTAATTAGCCCGTGCCCGTTCGATTTTTGTCATAGAAGTTTACAACTTTACAATAAGAAGTTATAAAGTTTTGAACGTCAATCATTAACTTTTTTTCTTTCCTATCACTTACTAAAAATTATTTAAATAAAACGACTATATAAAGGATAAGTATAGATATGGTTGGTGTGGAATAGACTTACAATAACTTTTAAGTCTGTTTCCACAAGTTTATTAAACATTTTATACCGATTGTAATTAATCTACGCATTTCAAGCGGGTACTCTTAATATTATTTAGACGGGTACTTATATCCGAACCGCTGATAAATAGCGGTTCGGATATTAGTACCTTTTTAAATATATAGTAGGATATTAGTAGTTTTTTAAGTTATTTATATAATAAATTTTTTTTTCTTAACTTTAAAAGGAGGCAATATATATAGTCCTATCTTTATATATACCTTTATTTTTTCTACCGTTTACTAAAAAATATTGAAGTAAGAAATAAAAAAAGAAACGGCCGGTATGTAATAGACTTACCAAGACCTGTATTTTACGGGTTCGGACCAGTAGCGGACCAGTAGACCAAACCAACACTGTCGAATTTGGCGAATCGTTCAAAGAAATGACATGTTTGGAAGAGGGAAATGTAACGGATGATGTAAAACTAACTGAAGAGTATACTGCTGAGAACAACGTAGATACGAAATACCAAGCCGAAAATCATATTCAGAATAGAGACAAGAGCTGCATGCACGAAGAGATAGAAAAATTGTCGGAAATTACTGATATTATTGATGTAAGAGTAAACTATTGCGATATAGGATATTGGCCACGTTTTGCCTAAACCAGTCACTTTTGTTTTTCCAAAAGAAAAAGGAAATTGGTTCATACCCAGAATCTAAGCAAAATTATAAAGCTCAAAGTAGATTTAAAAAAAATTTTTTTTTTTAGTAGACTCATGAAAAACAGTCCAACAGTTTTAAGATCCTGAATTTTTTATTCTTTATGCAAAGGAGCAGCGTTTTGTTTACCATACAAATTATTTCCCCCATAAAGGCATCTGACGGTTGTAAAGATTGGAAAAATATAAGAAAGATTCTTGTATCCCATGAAGAATCTGATGACCATAAAAAAGTCATGATCATGAACCTCACAAAAAAATCGAATAAGAGCGCAATAATATGTATAGTTTGTATATGAAAAGATAGTGCAGCTCATGGGAAAAAATGTTTTAAAACAAATTATTAAGCAGATAGACGATGTTGATGAAAAATATATACCCTTATTGTACTGATGTTGCTCATACAGATCAGCTGGCAATAATTTTTTCTTTCTTTCATTCAGTGATCAAAAAAAAAAAATGCAAGAAATCAGTTTATTGTTTGATGAGGAGGCGCTACAGTAGGCCCCTCTATGCTAACGAAAATAAAAACACAGAAACTACAAACAAAGCAGCAATTGTGTGTCCAAAAGTTACTTTGTTATGGTGTCTTTAAAAGCATTGATTGATGTAGCGTTCACTGCTGCTTGGGAAAGCGCATTTCATGGGACAACAACACTATTTAAAAAAAATTTATGTCGTTCTTAACAAACTTATACAAGTTGGCGTTCTAGATATGCTTTTTCAAAATATACTTGGCTTTACTGTTTGAAAGTCTTTGTGAGACGAAAAACAGATGTGACACGTGATTTTAAATTCTCGATAAGGTCTGCTCTTTTACGGCGTTCTTCAAGTGTTGACAAGACCGAGCTGTTTGAGTCGATTTTCATAGGACAGGTATTTTATAAATAATATTGTTTTTGACTTGCTTGAGGATAGCAATGTTGGACTTAAAATGCGGCGAATGTAAATGTTCGCCATAATAACAGTGTGCGCCATATATAAAAACTACGACTACGAGTCGCCTTAGCATTTTTTTTTTTTTTTTGCCATATAAATTTAATCATAACATAAAGCTCATGTAGATACAAATAGCAGGAACAAGAAGAAGACATTTGTCTTATCGCCAAGCCCCTTAATCTATACCGTAAGACACAATAAAAAAAAAATTAAAAACCGTAAAACTACAGCACTACAGCATATAAAATATTGTTATATAGACTTTTTATATTTATAAGAAACAAACAACGAACAAACAAAAAGATAAAATTCATAGGTTCTGAATGCCCCTTTCTAACTATAAAAATCTACTTTTTTTCTTACTTTAATATAACAAAAGGACAAAAATTAAATAACAAAGTAAAAGCAAATACTATAGTATAGCAAAAAATTATATACTTAAAAAGCATGCACGCAAATACTCATAATCCTGAAACTTTCCGTTTAAACCAGTAAACGTCTTTTGCATATACATTTACAAGAAACCATGCGCTACGTTGCTCATCAACAGTCTTTGCTTCAATTTGATCTTAAACTCATTAAGCGTTGCAATTGTTTTAAGATCATTAGTTGAAATTTTATTCCATACTTTTGGTCCTCTAGTAGAAATTGAAAATTTAGTAGCCGAAAAATAATTTGTGGGCTGATGGTAGCTGTTATCGAGTATCTGGTTAAGTATCTATTCTGATTTATTTTGAATAGCGGGTTAAATATTTTAAGAGATAAATTTTTATTAATTTTGAACATAAATTTAAGAAGATGATAGATGTTTATTTATATATATTTAGCTTAATAAACAATGCTTGGGAATGTGTAAAACATCCCACATTGGATATGATTCTGATTGCATGTTTTTGTGAAAAAATTTTTTAGTTTTATTTTTAATTATACTGCGCCAAGCAATGTTTGAACATGGTCTGTAATTGGAGATATTAGCCTCGTCTCCTGATTTCGATACTAGCATTACTCTTGCAACTTTGAGTCTATCAGGGAAGAATCCTTGTTCTAAAGAGATTCTATTCGCTATTGATGTGGCTGACTCTACTTGAGGTCTGACGTCAAGGCCATTAGAGACCACTACATCTAGGTTTCGTTCGACTTCGTCTTTTCGAGTGGATAACGCGTGCCGTCGACGTTGGTTATTGAGTATTCGCGCGTCGACTTGTTATATGCGCGGCCAACATCCATTTTTTTGCATTTCTCAACTTTGAAATGCATAAACCAAATTTGTGACCATTTCACTGCACTGACAATGTCAGCTTAGAGAGTAATGCTGTCCAACTTATTTTTAATTATGCCAATAATTTTACTGTCGTCACCATACAGTTTCATATGATGAGTTATGCTATTCGACAGGTCATTAATAAAGGTAACGAAGAGCAATGGGCCCAAGACCGAGCCTTGAGGCACGCCACTAGTGACCGCTTGCCATTTAGATGTGGTACCCTTGATGACCCCTTGTTGACTTCGGTCGCGTAGCCAAGCCTAGATCCAGTCTAAGAGCGTACCTAATATTGAGATGCTGTTATAAGGGGAAAATATTTGAACAATTTATAACCTTTCTACAGATCAAATATCACATCAGCGAGACACTATTTACTAAAGTATTTCAATTTTTAAATTATGCATTTCTTCCAATTAAAAGCATCCGTGGTTGATTAAACGATAATATGTCAAATATGGGAAATCATCTTAGAGTAATTTAATTAAGTTAACAAATTTCTACAAACTCCTTGTTATAGATATATGTGAAGGATACACTTCACTGGAGTTATATATGTTTGTACATGAAAATTCCGCGCCGAAATTAAAAGACATTGAGAACGAAGCAGCCATAATGACTCCAGAGGTCAAAAAAGTTTTTAGTGATACGCATAAAACAATGTAAGAACAAAAATTTATTCGGATGGAGAAAAAAAAGAGATATTTTTACTGGAAAAGGGTTT